AGAAATCCACACTCACATGAAAGACATTAAAATGCAGATAGGGTAAAATGTTTAGTAAGGGTTAATGGTAATGATAAAAAATAAAGTAAAATAAATTGGAAAAACCTGGTGAGAACAGCAAAGTATAATATAGAATTTCATTAAGCGTTTTAGATTCTCAAACTATAACAAAGCAGTGGGGACAAATCATACAACCTTAAGAGAGAACAGGAAAACAGTAAATATCATAGTCTAGGTCTCAAAAGATGCAACAACTTGTTTGATAATGCAAGGCACTTTTTTTTTTTTTTTTTTTGGCTGTGTTGGGTCTTCGTTGCTGCACATGGGCTTTCTCTAGTTTCAGCGAGTGGGGGATACTCTTTGTTGTGGTGTACGGGCTTCTCATTGCAGTGGCTTCTCTTGTTGCAGAGCACAGGCTCTAGGCGCATGGGCTTCAGTAGTTGTGGCATGCAGGCTCAGTAGTTGTGGCTCGCGGGCTCTAGAGTGCAGGCTCAGTAGTTGTGCTGCATGGGCTTAGCTGCTCCGTGGCATGTGGGATCTTCCTGGACCAGGGATCGAACCCATATCCCCTGTTTTGGCAGGTGGATTCTTTTTTTTTTTTTTTTTTTTTTTCTGTTTTTCCTTTTTTTTTTTTGGTTGCTGTGAACATTCACATACAAGTTTTCGTGTGAACTTACATTTTTATTTCTCTTGGAAAAATATACCTGAGTTGAATTGCTGCGTCATGTAGTAACTCTGTTTAAACCTTTGAAAAACTGCCACACTGTTTTCCAAATTGCCTATACCATTTATAATCCCACAAGCAATATATGAGGGTTTCAATTTCTCAACATTCTTGCCAACATTTGTCTTTTTTTGTTGTTATGTCTTTTTGATTACAGCCATCCTGGTGAGTGTGAAGTGATATCTCATTGTGGTTTCCATTTGTTATTTCCCTAATGACTAATGATGTTGAGCATCTTTCCATGTGCTTATTGGCCATTCGTATATCTGTTTTAACCACTGTGCCACCAGGGAAGTCCTCCATAATGCAAGGCACTTTTAAAATCACCCATAGTCCCTTTAGTCTAACAAATTATCTGTTTTTCCATTTATTTTCTTGTCCATAGTAACATCTATTCTTGAACAGGACTTGCAAAATTTAAACATATACATCATATTTAAATATGCATTCTCTTTGACCCAGGAATTCTACTGTAAAAAATTTATCTTTAGGACAAACTAGACAAATACATCAAATATAGGTATAAGAAAGTTCATTGAAGTGTTATTCCTAACATTTAAAAAGGAAATATTCCAACTGTTCATCAATAAGTTAAATATATTTGGAATACGAGGAAGCCATTAAAGGTGATGTTGTAGAGTTATATTTACTACCAAATTCCACAGATTAATAGCAATAACAATAATAACAACAAAAAAGGAATAATAATAGCTAACTTTACTGAATACATAGTATGTGCCAAGGATGGGTCTAAGTGTTTTATATGTATTATATCACTTAATTTTCACAACTGGTCTATTAAGTAAGTATGTTATTGGGTATATTTTACAGGTGTAATGTTATAGAATAATAAATTCTATTTATTTATGTAAAATTGTGTGTCTGGGTGTGCACATAGAGATGTTTGAAAGGATAATAAATGAAATGTTGACAACAGATTTACCCTTTCCTTTTTATGTATTGATTAATTATTGTACACGACTATGCATTAATTTTATAAAAAGAAAGAACAAAAATATTTTTGAACATATAGGGAAACAATGAGTTATTTTCTCGACATGATAAATAATTCATCACTTAAACTAAGGGTCAAACAATAAGTAAATAGCATGTGCTAGCTTATTCTCTTTTATAACAGAAAAAAAAATAAGGCTGACTTCAGTCACTTCTTTAATGGAATTAGATACAGGAAATGCTACTACTATAGCTAATTAAAAATTTTAAATATGACTCTAGGATAAAATGAAATTAAAAACTACCTTTTACAGATGATATGATTATATACCTAGAAAATCCTAGGAGATAAAATTTTACATAGGCAGGAAATGTGTTTAACATATGTGTCATAGGTTATGACAAACTGATAAAACCAAATGCATTCTTATATATTTTTGTCATCAAAAATATATTACCAAACATGCATCAACAGGGAAATAATCAGTTAATGATAATAAGTCCGTAATATCCATGGTTTAAGAACTATTCCATTTTTTAAAAAGAATATGGTAGATCTATGTGTACTAATCTTCAAAAATATCCAAGATTTATAAGTGAAAAAAGCACATTTCAGAATGACAACATAGCGTTATCCGATGTATTTAACAACAACAATGTAAGTGCATACGTATAATTGGATAGAAAACCAAGAGGACATACATCGAGCCAGAAGTAACAGTACTGACTTCTGGGGAGAGATTGATATTGAAGGATGTGGAGGAAGTAGAAGACTTTAATTTTTAACTCTACAATACTAACTAACTATAAACTATATACATAACTATTTAAATTTTTTACCCTTAGGATATGTTCATGAAGTACTTATACAATTAAAAACAAATAAATAAACCAAAACTTCACATTGGTATTTAAAAAATTGATTACGTGAATACATAAGTGCTAATCTAATTTAGGACCACATAAATTTCTTTAACGATTACTATGTAAAACTTTAATGGACAAAATAAAGAACAATATGAATAAATGGAGAATCCAACTTACAGCTCTTTGAGAGGATTCAATATAGCAAAGATGACACTATTTCCTAAGCTAAAGTATAGGTCTTAATACAATAAACAATAAAAGTTTCTTGGTAGATATTGCTTAGAGCTTGATTAACAGTGAAATTGATCTCAAATAAGCAAGATCACCAAATACAAGGTTTCTGGAGGTAATAGGAGTGAGTACTTGTTTTCAGCTAAATCACCTCCTTTCCAGCCCAGCTCACTGCCTGCACTCCCTGAGGTCCGCTGCTCCTCACCTTGCCTGCTTTGGGTGCCCAATCTCTGTCTATATCTCTATTGCAATAGTCACTGGTCTCCTTACCTGATGACTCCTCCAATAGACTGCATGCTCCTTGAAAGGAGAGACCATTTTCCTTGTACCCTGGCACTTAGCACCATGATTACCACAGAGCAATAATGTTTGTTGAATAAAGCAAAGCAAAATATAAGCTGCATAGTTCTGATGTTTAAAAGAGAAAAACTAATCAAAAAAATTCAATAGGAATTCCCTAAAATGGGTTAAAATATTAGAAAAATTCAACATCTAATAAACAAGAAATGTTACAGTGGAAAAAATCACTAACAAATATTACAGGAAAGTTGGCTATTAGTAAAGAAAAAATATCTTAGATTCATAGCTCATCTGATCAGATATAACAGATTTCAAATGGATCAAAGCTTTTTTTTTTTAATCCTATTTTTAAAAACTAAGAAAGAAAGGTGAGGAGTTTAGCCTGGAAATGAACAGAATGAACCCAGGAATGCAAGAACTTGTATGACTATTGAATAGCATCAGAAACAAGGTGGAAATGTTCAAATAAATAAAAACTTAAAACATTTTCATAATGTGTAAAACATAAATATCAAAATAAAAGCAACAAACTAGAAAAAACAAGTAACCAATCCTTGCTATATGAAATATAAATTATACAAATTCCCAGTTTCCACTTGATAGATGGTTAAAACTAGAGGAGGAACAGGCAATAAGTTATTTTACACAAAAAAAGAACACAAACTCTATAGTCATGAAAAATATTCAGTCAAATAAAATATCCTTAAGATTTTTATATACCTTTAAGCTATCAAAAATATTAAACTAATAAAAACAAGTATTCTTATTGCTTATGGTGATAAAGAATGTTTTAACCTTTTTAAAGGACAATCTGGCAATATGTAACAAGAGCTATAAAATTGTTCATGCCTTCCAGATACGTACATTCTGGGTAATAAGCCATAAGTAAACAGCCCAAATGAACAAAGTTATTTATATATTCAATGCAAAAACATTAGAAAGCAGAAAAACTGAAACCACACAAATGTACACAAGAGGAATGCTTAAGCAAACTGGTATATTATACAACAGAATGACTACAGTTGTTATTCAAAGTGGTAGGTGAGATTATATAAGCAGAATAATAGAAGAAGGTACACAGAAAAAATGTGGAACACAAAAAAGTATGTACAATACAAATATTTGTGTTTTGAAAATGTGGGGGAATGTGGAGAGAGAGAAATCATGTATTGGGTTCTTTTCCAATAAAGTTTTTTAAAAATTTAAAAGGTCTGGCCATGACCATGGCATGGATCTTGAGCCTGTTGTGAAACTACTACTTAAGAGAAGGAGATCTTGGGTAAGGATTGGAGTTTTCTCTCCTGTGACCCTGAACTTTCCTGTGATAAGACACTTTAAAATTTTAATTACAGTAGTGTATGAACTGTTATCCTAAGGTAAAAATTACCTTCCCACAAACAGGGTCATCTTACAACTCCCACCTTACGCACTTATATCCACAACTGTTGCTGCAAAACAAGCAGCAGAAGGGGAGGGGACACACCCAATACCCGCTTCAACACTGGCCCATCACTCGGCCTCCTGCCCAAGGAAGCCAAGTGGCCCTTGTCTGACAGCAAGAAGCCTTCCTAGCAGAAAGCAAGATTTCATTGAACTGATATAACCTGAGAGAAATTTAAACCCAAATAGTAGAAGGTTGTTAAAACATCTGCCACACCTGAAACTAACACGATATTGTAAATCAACTTTAATTTGAAAAAAGAAAAAAAAAAAATCAGCCAAGATTCTGGGATTCTTCCTATACATTTGGCTCTCTCAAACAAGACGTCACATGTGTTTGGGACAGGGCCTCAGCTGAGCCCAGTGATTCTGTACAACAAAAAAGGAACCTTTCTCAGGGGCACCAAAAGTCAAAGCTAAGGGTTGTAAGGATGTGGATCTACACACACGTGAAGATCTAACAAAATCCTAAGCGGGGACTTACTTTCCGCAGCACATGTGATGCTTATCAGGCATTCCCGAGCCCAGGACAAGGACACAGTACTTCTGTGCCAAGTATTTCTGTGCTGCTTCTAACTTACTGATAACCAATTCCATCTCTTTTTTCTCTACAAGGCCCCTGAAAAGAAAAACAATAATCTGGATTAATGTTGGCAAATGTCTATATGAATTAGTAAAAAGTCAGAAGTATAAACTATTTTGAAAGGAACCTAAGTGAGTCAACACATCTCACTTACCATTTCATTTATTTTATTTGAGCTGTGGCAGAGAAAGTTCCTCAAAGTCCTTTGATATTTATCATTGTAATCAGCATCTCAAGTTTATGCTGAATATTCACTTTTTCAATAGATTCTTTATAAATTGTATATGTATCCTCAATTTTATACACAGGAAGTCCTAATTTATATAGAACAGCTCAACTAACAAATTCCCTACACCAGTTTCTGTGGCAGCTAGCAGCCGATTTTCCTGCTGCTGTTTGTCAAAACCAGCCATGGAGCCTCTTTCCCACCTTAGCTTCCCCTGGGTTTCTGATGTTATTACTAAGTTCGGGGGCTCAGTGTTTGAACTACTCAATGTTTGCCCACCCTCAGTTCTGTGTTTGCTAAGGAGGCATCTGTAGAATACCACTCTGGGAACTTTGGCATCAATTACAATCACCTTGCTTCCCTGTGAAAACACAGCCCCAGTTCCAATTGAATTGCAAATTACTTTCTAAAAGGCAACCTGTTTTTAGGTTACAGCATGTCTGAAGCCTAATTTTAGACATTTTTTGCGGCACAGTACAGTAGGAAACATTGCCGACAATACATTCCAATGATTGCTATTGAAAAATGAAATGTCACTTTTTCCCTGCCTTTTTATTTTCAGAAAGATAAAAGCCAAACGAAACGCACTCTAAACAAGAAAGACAACCTGCCCCTTCTGATGTTAACCACTAGACTGACCGCATGAGGATAAGCTGTGGGGAAAGGTGGTGGGTTTAAGGATGTTTCAAAGCACAAAACATTATCACTGTGGTGAGAAGGCCTGTGAGTAATTGGAATAAAATGAGTTTCTGGAATAGATAAGGTGGGTTCCAACTTTAACTGCCCAAATATCATATAAACCCAACACACACACCCACGAGCACCCCAGTGACCATCACTGTGCCTGCCTCCCTGTTGCCTTCCCTCATCCTCACCCCTGCTTTGCCAGACCTGCCTATAGTTAATCTCTTCTTTTGCTGTTGAAAACAAAGCAAACGAAACAACAACGAAGAAATGCTTTGAAGCATTTCCGCTAATGGTTCTCAAGTTTTAATATATGTAAGAATTGCCTGGGGTATTTGCTAAAACTGCAAATTCCCAAGGCCAACCCCTCTTCCAGATTTTGGTTCAGTAGGTCTGGGTAGAGCGTGGCATTTAAAATAAGCCCAGGGGCTTCCCTGGTGGCACAGTGGTTGAGAGTCCGCCTGCCGTTGCAGGGGACACGGGTTCGTGCCCCGGTCCGGGAGGATCCCACGTGCCGCGGAGCGGCTGGGCCCGTGAGCCATGGCAGCTGAGCCTGCGCCTCCGGAGCCTGTGCTCCGCAACGGGAGGAGCCACAACAGTGAGAGGCCCGCATACCGCAAAGAAGAATAGATAAATAAATAAATAAATAAACCCAGGTATAACCCTTTGGAAAAATTTTTAGTAATAATTTCAAGTGCCATACAATTGGTCATAAACTTTGATCCAATCATCTTTCCTGGAAATTTATTCTTTGTAAAAAACCATCCAAAGTTGGGGGAGAAATCTAATGCATGAAGATATTCAATGCAATTATTATTTATCTATTTGACTATCAGAAAAACTGGAGACCCCCAAAATATATAAAATAGAGGGATAATAGGAGTAGTAATACAGGCTGTAGTAATAGAGCCAAGTACTATTTAAGGATTTGACATTAACGTAACATATGAGTCCCCCCCGTGGGATTGAAGCCAGGCACCAAAGTCTGTACCCTTAACCACTATACTACTTTGCTTCTTAATAGGCAGGTCAATAAGTTATTAACATACAGTAGCTTAATGGAAAGTTATGCCACCATTAAAAATTATAATTACAACGATTGTAATAACTTGAAAATACTTATGACATGATGTTTAAAACTGCATACATAATTGTACCTTTGTTCAGAAGCTGTAAGTCCTAATTACACATGGATAAACTCGGGGACAGAGAGCCGAGTTGATTGGTAAGGGATGTGGGGACACCACACAGTGGTTTAGGCAGAGACTTTGGAGTTAGAGACCTGGGTCCTAGCCTCAGCTCCAACACTAACTTGGCATGTACACCCGCCAGCTATTTAACCTCTCTGAGCCTTAGCTTCATCATCCATTAAATGGGGATAAGGTTTTTTCTTCTGGAATTAGGGCATTTAGTCATCTAAGACCATCTTTAACATCCTTTAATATTTTTAATATCCTTCTGTAACTCTTCCTGCTCTCCTCTCACAGGTTATAGGCTTTCCTTCCAAGGGCCAACCACTAGGCTAAGATAATATGCATTAACTCATCTAATCTGGACAATAACTGTAAAGTGAATGCTACTATTATCCCTATGTTATACCTCACTATTTTGACGGAAATTAATTTTTTTCTTAAAGTTATTTATATCCAGATATCTCAATGTAATTTATATTTGTTTCTATTATAATAAATAAACCAACTGACTACTGGAAGCTTGAAAATGAAAAGTTGTTATGCTTTTTTTAGAATCACACCACAGAACCATTCATTTTAAGGCTTGGATTTTTCTTTGTCATTCTGTAACTGATTCCTTCCATGAAAGTCTACCATATATCACTGGGTTCTAATAATTTTTAGTATATTTTATTTTATTATTTTTTAATAAATTTTTAAAATTTATTTATGGCTGCGTTGGGTCCTCATTGCTGTGTGCGGGCTTTCTCTAGTTGTGGCGTGCAGGGGCTACTCTTCGTTGCGGTGCACAGGCTTCTCATTGCGGTGGCTTCTTTTGTTGCGGAGCACGGGCTCTAGGTTGTGTGGGCTTCGGTAGTTTTGGCTCGCAGGCTTAGCTGCCCCACAGCATGTGGGATCTTCCCAGACCAAGGCTCAAACTCATGTCCCCTGCATTGGCAGGCAGATTCTTAACCACTGTGCCACCAGGGAAGCCCTTTAGAATATTTTTAAAATAACTAAGAAACCTTTCTTCTGTTATCTATTTCTATAAATTAAGAAAGAAACAATGTCTTTGCTTTTTTAAAAATTTTTATTGGAGTATAGTTGCCTTACAATATTGTGTTAGTTTCTACTGTTCAGCAAAGTGAATCAGCTATACATATACACATATCCCCTCTTTTTTGGATTTCCTTCCCATTATGTCACCACAGAGCACTGAGTAGAGTTCCCTGAGCTATACAGTAGGTTCGCATTAGTTATCTATTTTATACATAGTATCAAGAGTGTATGTATGTCAATCCCAATCTCCCAATTCATCCCGCCCCCCCCAACAATGTCTCTGCTTGATTAGCAATAACCCACAGAATTAGAAAAAAACATACAAAATATAAGCTAATATGCTCTCAAAGTCTAATAAATTTCTTCTTTGGAAATAGTAAGACTCCTCAAACCTTCTGAGCCCACAGCTGGCTTGAGCCCATTTGCTTGCTACCACAGAAACACTTCATGTTCTCTGGCTGCTCCGCTAGATGTTGCATATTATAATGGCTTTACTGTAGTAGTAGTGTTTGAATATTTATTTGGTTCTTTACAAAACTGCTATCCCAAGACATTTATCTATCCACAAAATTTTTCAAACTGTTTGTTTATATGCAAGGATTTTGCATTTTGAAAACATTCTACAACAACAAATTGATGACTCTATCCAGCATTCCTAACAGCAAAATCACTGGGTCGGTTCCACATATACTGGGGAGGGCAGCCTGGGCACTGGGAACGTTCCATGGCTTGCAAAGGTCACCAAGCCTGAGAGGCATTGTTCTGCTCTGGACTCTGAGTTCCCAGATTCTTGCCCTGTATAGCTCCGAGCCACCTCCACCTAAAGTGATTAAATTCTTCACATGTAGTCTAAGAAGTTGTTTTCTTCTATGATATGTAATATCATTTTGGTCATATCTGTTAATTTTTTAAATTCTTAGTTTTTTTCATTAGATGCTTACAAACCCTTTAGCAAGAACTGTGTAAGCATGACAAACATAGAAACAATATCTCTATCTGCACTGTCCAATATGGTAGCTGTGAGCCACATGTAGCTACTGAGCACTGACTGTGGCTAGTCTGAATTGAGGTATATTGTATTTGTAAAATAGACACCATTTCAAACACTTACTACAAAAAAGTAAAGTATTTCATCAATAACTTCCTAGTATTGACTACAAGTTGCAATGATGATATTTTTGAGTCATTGGGTTAAATAAAATATCTTGTTAAAATTAATTTCACCTGTATCTTTTTACATTTTAAAAATATGGCATCAGAAAAGTTTAAATTACGAATATGGCTCTCACATATTGGGCATACTCTTCTATTGGGCAGTGCTGGTCTATATTATTTGCAATATTTAGTTAACAGAATACCCATCTGAATTATTCAGTGAGCTTTAAAACTGGTGAACTCCTCCCTGTAAAATGTTTTAGCATACTCCAAGATTTTTAAATTTCCATCATGTCTTTACCCTAGACAAAAGTTAGTTTTAATACTGGCAGTGATAAAGCTTTAAAGTGCACTACAGGGAATTCCCTGGCAGTCCAGTGGTTAGGACTCGGTGCTTTCACTGCCAGGGCCCCAGGTTCGATCCCAGGTCGGGGAACTAACATCCCGGAAGCTGCGTGGTGTGGCCAAAAATCAATCAAGCAATCAATAAAAATAAAGTACACTACAAAATTCTACTTACACCACACAACTTTTGGGTTTCTTTTCCTGTGAGATTTTTTCCAAGTAATAATACAAATAGTACAACAATGCCATGAGGAAATTGTCAAGATTCTTATTCCTATGGGGAGATTAAAAGAAAATGATAACATATTTCAAACATAAAGCTTGTCATAAAAAAAATATGGGCACACAAGAATAAGTAGAAACACATGTTACCATACCCGTCACACAACTAATTTACCATTTAAAATTCTACCTACTATAACTGTTGAAGATATAAGAAACCTGATTTTCATAAACAAAATTTTTTGAGAGGTCACAACTGAATTATAGTTTTGCTCACCAATTAGTTTTCATTTTTAAAGTGTTTTTATAATACAGGTAATTTTTTGCTGTTGTTTAAAAAGTGTACACAAATGTGGGCTTCCCTGGTGGCGCAGTGGTTGAGAGTCTGCCTGCCGATGCAGGGGACGCGGGTTCGTGCCCGGTCCGGGAAGATCCCACGTGCCGCGGAGCGGCTGGGCCCGTGAGCCATGGCCGCTGAGCCTGCGCGTCCGGAGCCTGTGCTCCGCAACGGGAGAGGCCGCAACAGTGAGAGGCCCGCGTACCCGCCCCCCCAAAAAATGTACACAAATGTAACAAGTAAAAAGACCCTCCCCTCACTCCTTTGTCACCATCCTACTCCTTAGTGGTAGCCACTGTTAAGAGTTTGGCATGAATCCGTCCTAAACCTTCTAGAGCATAGGCAATCACATATAAGGTCCTCCCCCACCAGCACACATACATATGCATGAATATATGCCTTACTTTTTTTTTTGGTAAAAAATGGTATAATGCTGTATATACAAGTCTTTGCAACTTGCTTCTGTCACTTACCTGTGTAGCATGGACCTCTTTCCATGATACCATGTATAGATTTTCCTCATTTTTTTAAACAGGTGGATAAAGTATGCTATAGCTCATAATGTATTTAACTAATCCTCTACTGATGGATATTTGGGTTTTTAAAAAATATTATAGACATTGCTGCAGTAATTATTCTTATAGCCACATCTTTGAGTAACTTCCTAGAAGTGAAATTGCTAGGACATAGAATATCTGCACATTAAAGTTTCATAAGTTTTGCTCTCCAAAAAAGACGGCATCGATTTACAATCCTATCTCATTTGTTTTAAAACTAGAAGGCTTTGTTTTCTTTCTAAATATTCTTGCAAGATTTTTGCTGCTTCCTTTCTAGCCCCAAACTAATTCTTACTCTGGCATGCATTCCTTAACCATACCTTGAGAGCAGGATGAAGATGAGCATTGCAGACTTTTTTTTCACAGTATTGATAACTACCTGTCCTAGGTTGGGTTCTCCCAGAAACACAACATGAGACAGATTTGCGAGTAAGTAGTTTACTAGGAAGTGATCACAAGAAACATCAGTAGGGTAGTGGGGAGGTGAGATGGAAAAGGGGTATTAACAAGTTCCTTATCACTGTGGACCAATGTAGCTCAGTACCATGAGGGACTCTAGAAGACAGCGTGGAAAACTTAGAGTTATCCTGACAGATGGAAGCTGGGATATTTATCTACCAACTCTCCCTCCAGCATATCACTGACTGGAGGCTGCTTCTCGGGCACCGACTTCCCAGTGCCCCAGGCTTGTCCTGTAGCCCTGCAGTCAGGCTGAGTGTGCTCCTGCCATAGGATAAAGCTTCAGGCAGAGAATCTCAGGTGTTTGCCATATGCGGCCTTTACTGAATGCTGAGGGAATCTGTGAGCGCTGCCCACAAACTCTCACTGAGCACTTACAAGTGCAGCTGCCATGAGAAGCACCTTCCACGTACAGCCACGTGGAGACACCATTACTTCCAATTTTGTATCCAAGGAAACTGAGGCTCGGGAAGATGAAAAAGCTCACCCAGAGTCACACACCTAGTACTTGTTGGGGCTGCCAAACATAACTAGTGGAGAAAACTGATCTTCAGTAAATGAGTATACCCTTTAACCAACATATACACAGTGCAGTCTCAATGGGACTCTGACAACGTGCTCACCATACTCCTTGTCCTGGACTTTATTTGGGGCTCCTGTGACTTCTGGGCTTCCTCTCTCTGGTCTCAGTCTTTGAAACTGAATCCTGAGGGAATGGCTTGCATAGAGCCAGCCCTTTCTCCAAAGATCAGATTTGTCTTCATTTATCAGATGGGATGATTTCAAAATAAAGGATAAAAGATCTAAAATGTCTCACAAGCATTACATACCTCAGAAATGTTGTAAAAGAACAGATATGCTGCATCTCAGTATCTTGTAGCAAAAGCAAAGCGACAACTGAAAGGAGACAAGATGGACAATTGAAAGAGGGACAAAGAGCTGCCTTAGAGGTTGACACCAGGTAATACATGTAAGGATGATGAAGCAGTTACTCACATTTAGCATCGTGGAGTGTAACATTGCCCTGCTGACTTCGTTTCTCTAAGCCTTTGGGTGACTTGTCGTCTCTTAAAGCAAACTTTTTATCTGTCAACCTGTTTGGGGGATATAACAGTCTATAGTAGTGCTTTGAAAGGTTTTAGTTGTATTTTATCTACCCTGAGGCACATGAGGTGTTTACTATAAAGTAAGGAGACCCTGAGTGTCATGTGTGGGTTGCATTTAATGTAGAATCATTTTGGAATACATTTTATTAAACATTGTATTTACTCTGCTAGGGGTAGGAGGAATGCACATTGCCTTACATAAAATGTAAATATCAATTTGATCCAAAATAGATCATTTAAATCATCTATTTTTGGCATAGCTATCATTCTCAGATTTTTTTTAAAGAAGCTGAAAATTTGCTAACAGCCAAATTATCACAGGGATACATTATTGGGATGATTGTAACTCCCACCATAATTGTGAAATAGTGCATGTTCCTTCCTTGATGGCTATTTGCATTTCAACCTAGGATGATGGGAATGATATTTTCTTAGAGTCTGCAGAGGCTTAAGCCATTCTGCTGAGAGGTGCTATCACAACACTGCCATGGTGCTAAGTTAAACTACCTGTCTGAAGCTGGACCATCAATTTCAGCAAAGTGAACTGCTTTGCCTTTCTTTCCTCTTTCTCTGAGTTCTACTGCAGGTGTAAAACTGTAATAGAAATGAGAAAATTAGGAACTTAACCTTTTCCCGGGGGAAACTAATCAGAGCACGACCATAGCTCATGGAACCTGAGGACCAGCACATATTGTGAGTGTCCTGGAGAGAATCTGAGGCACAGCTGTACTTAATTCATGTATTTACATGTGGTACAATCATCTAGAAAAAGATTAAAAGATCAGACTTTATATTCAGCCTTTACGTATCACTAGCCCCCTGAATACCACCACACACAAAACATTTCCATCTGAAAATGCTGCTGTAACTTCAGAAGAAACAGAAAGCTCGTGATCAGTTTGGAAGGATTTTTTGATTTACTGAGTACTTGTTATGTGCTTCTAAGCACGACCTCATTCAATCTTCACAGCAACTCTATTAGGAAAATATTACTATTATTACAACTTTTACATATGAAAAAGATTGAACCTTAGAAAGATATTAAGCAACTGGACCAAGATCACTTAGCAAGTGCCAAAGCCAGGACCGGGCACAGGTTCTCTAGCCACAGAGCCATGTGTTTACCCACCAGGCAGTCCTGCCCCCCGAGCAGCCACCTCGTTATCACTGCTGTGGACTCTTCTAGAAGCTTGACTATCTCGAAGAAGGTTTCAGGACCCTTTACTTAACTCAGGGTTGCTTTGACTCTATAGTTTTTGTACAAGCATTACCAATCAGTAATGGGCCTAACTAACAATGGACCACGATTAAGCAACAAATAAATGTGTACTGAGGCCATACTCTGTGTCAGGCATTGCTGTAACATTGAAAATAAGTGGTGTCTGATTACAGTCAATGCACAGACCCTCAGGATTATCAGCAAATGCTTAATAGGAAAACAGAGAAAAGCGTTTTGAAGACTAGCAGGATGTGGTTCCTGCCTCATAGAGAGTTCATTTTCTAGAACTGTGGTGTCTACCAAATACATTGGTTTGGTGACCGTTGTGGATTATGATGTTTATTTTTCTGCCTGAAACAATGCCATGTTGATAATACCACCCAGAAGCTTAATCTCTGCCCACAGTTACATGTCTCGGTTAAGTTTAAGCATAGATATAGTAAGTAGAAGCACTTTTCCCCACATTTTAGTCGTTCCCTCATCATGCATATATACTCTTTATCATCTCTTTGTCAACACAACAGTTTTGAAACAACTTCCTTTAAAATTTTTCTGGGATTGGTTACCCCCAAAGTCATCATTTTCGAGAAATACCTCCCATGGGAATGATAAAGTTAACCAGTTTGGTACTTTCTTCTTCCAGGAGTTTTTGCCAACATCCTGGCAATATTTAGGTTGTAGACTAGGTCAGAATCTAAAAGCATGGACACGATATCACCTCAAGGGAACGATTTTTTGTATTTTTCTTTCTTTTCAGACCACTGGCACCAAGTTGGTTAGTGGATGTAGAAATTTCTAAACTTTTCATTCTTTCTTGTCCTCTTCTTATCACTGGTCTCCAAGGATTGGGTATTTAGAGGGAGGGTGTGCTGAAATACTGAGGAGGTGGCAGGAAAAAAGAAATGAAAGGATACCAAATGGTGATGGTGGGTACCTCCAAAGAGAGATGGGGCAGAGAGGAGGCGTAGTGATGAAGAGAGCTATCTTCCACAGCTGTATACTTCTGTATTATTTCAGGTTTTTTTTTAAATAACAAGAATGTACTGATTTATTATCTGCGTTCCTAAAAAAAAAAGTTGATAGAGGTATAGAGGAAGAAACAGTACGTTGTTGATACATTCTATTGACAGGCCATTTAGATAGCCTTTAACAAAATCCTCAATTCCCTCAAGCATTCAGACATTTTCTAAGAGCTCTTTGAAGTCCATTCTACTTGCTGGATATCTAATGTGTGGCATTAATATAACCACCCTAAACAAGAACACAAAGTTGTTTTCAGTTTTCCCTTGGACCATCACAACACTCTGGCCACTTACAAGCCATTGGCTGTTAACTTTCCTGACAGGCTAAAGAAAACTCAGGTCACCAGCCCTTCCCAGGGTTTCTCTTCTCTAGAAGATGAGAGCATATAGATAGAAACACCCAATTTCAGTTAATGTCAAATGAAATTGCTTCCCTCCTAACCTTGCCTCAGTCCCATCCCTATAATTCAACATTTCTTGCCCTATTAGTTAGTTTGCCTGAGTTGATTTGAGACAAGAGAGCCTTAAGATAAGGAAAGCATACATTTGGGATCTTATAGATCAGGTCTATGAACTAAGTCAAATGAACTTAGAATTACAAAATCATAAGATCATAGAATTTGGGGGTTCGAAGACATCTAAAAGATCATCTAGTACATGGCTATCATTTTACTGATGGAGAACTAAGGCTCAGAGAGGCTGCCCATGTCTCAGTATTTGAAACTTGTGGCAGGGAGTGCCTGCTCTCAGCCAATAGTCTGGCATTTACTGCAAAACCTCTAGTCCTTATTCTCTGACCTCTGGACACGTCTTCCCACACTTGCCTGAGTGGCTTTTCACCTGACTGAAGTCATTCTCCGGATCAGATGGTGAGATGGATTTCTCTTTGTGAGTGTCCTGCCATAGCTCTAAAAGCAGCCTATGTTCACAGTGCATTTGGAATCACTAAGAAGCATCACTAGTAATAATTAAAAATTGTCCTTTGAACTGCACCTCTGATTGGCTCCCAAACCACAGTCTGACCTAGATCTGTACCTTCTTCCAGTCTCCGTAGTCTCCCTCTCAATCTGGCAACCCATTTAGAATCACAGACCACACTGTGTTGATGTGCTTTCCTAATATCACAGCACAGTCACATCATTTCCCTTTGCCCTGAAATAAATGAGAAAAAGCAGTCATATTTTCTCCTAGAACCCATCACTACATTGCAGAGGGCTGGACCACTCTTGGCTTCCACACCAGTTCGAGCTCTTCAGTGGTTACTAGAGTCTTTGGTTAGGCTATGTTGAAAAACAAAAGAAGTTCGAGGCTTCTGGAGGTGTAGTTTCCTTGGCTGTATGTCCTCAGGGGAGTTCACGACCTTGGCAAACACTCAGACAGGCGGCTGGTTCTCTCCCAGCTGGGAGTAGGGGGCACTTGCAACATGAATGGCTAGGACTACAGACACTGTGTCAGAGAGAAGCATGCCTTGTTGGTTGGCCCGTTACTTCCCCATTTAAAACCTTTCAATCCCCCCACCCCCGCCCCGCGTGCCCTCTGCATAAAGTTTAAATTCCTCAGCATGGTCTGTAAGACCTTTCACGATCTTGCCCTGGTTTAAGACTTCTACTTCCTCTCTTAACACTCGCCTGGAGCTCTACACCCAGCGTACTGACCACTTGCAGTCTCAAATGTGTCTGGGCCTCTGCACGTGCTGTTCCTTCTGCCCAGAACGCACTCTTCCTCCTCCACAACCAGAGCTGCCTTTGCCTTGCAGACACCTTCTCCTCAGGTCTTAGACAGCGCCTCCCCCCGGGAAGCCCTCCCCTCTCTCCCCTGTCCACTGGCTTCAGGAAATGCCCCCATCTAGGTACTGGGTCAGGGCATTTGGGTGAATGCAGGTTTCCTTCCGGAGCCCCGGCCCAGCCCAGTGTGGCAGCGGTGGCAGTTACTGAGGAGGGAGCTGGAAAGGGAGCAGCAATCTCGGGGGAATGAGTCAGGGTCAGTAGCACAGCTACCAAAAGATTCTCCTCCCAGTACTAGCCTGGGAGGGTCTGGTTTACTTTCAGTAAAAGGGGAGCGGCATAGATAGACCTTCCCGCACCTTCAAATTCCCAAGCTTTCCTGTCACTGTTACTTCCTTCCCACCATACTCAGCGGAAACTCTGCTTCTACCTTTCCCAAGCTAATCTGCGCTCTTGATCCCGTTCCCACTTTCCTTCTCTTCCCTCTCTTCTACCCAAACAAACTCAAAATTTTCCTACCTTTATAACAAAAGCAACAGAAGTCCCTTCCCTTGGTAGTGGATCCCCTAAAGGCTACTGTCGCTTTCCTTTTTCACTGGTAAACTTACTGATGAGAAACTAGCAAAAATAGAGCACTCTTTACCGCAGATTCTTCTCTAGCTACTGTAATCTGATTTCTACTCCACTGCCTTCCTGAAATGGCTTCTCACCTACATCCCGAGCGACCCCTAAATCCAAAGCCTCCTTTTTGCCCCATCCTGAGCTCTCTTTAGCATCTGACATTGCTGACCACTCCCCACTCAAATTCCCTTTCTTGTTTTGCCTTTGAAGGCCTTTGTGTGTCTCAGGGCTTTCCTCCTGACCCTTCTAATCATGCTTTCTCTTCAGTTAGCTCCTCTTTCTTTGCCTGGCTGCTATTCCTGAGGGCCACGTGAAGATCCCTTTCAAAACCTTAAGAGATGCACACCGACTAAGAGACATATCAGGGCTTCCCTGGTGGCGCAGTGGTTGAGAGCCCGCCTGCCGATGCAGGGGACACGGGTTCGTGCCCCGGTCCGGGAAGATCCCACATGCCGCGGAGCGGCTGGGCCCGTAAGCCACGGCCGCTGAGCCTGCGCGTCCGGAGCCTGTGCTCCGCCACGGGAGAGGCCACAGCAGTGAAGGCCCGCATACCACAAAAAAATAAATAAATAAATTTTAAAAAGAGACATATCAAACCAACTGTAATGTATGGAAATTGTGTGGATCCTGACTGGAACAAACTCTTAAAATATTAGACAATAGGAGACATCTGGATACAAACTGCATATGTGACAATGTTAAGAAATTACCTTTTGTATTTTTAGGCCAGTAAATAGTAATTCAGTTATATTTTTTAATAGAGTGCCTATTTTTTTTGAGATATGTACTGAAATACTTATAGATGAAATGATATCTGGAATTTACTTCAAAATAATCAAGGGGTGGAGAAGATAAGGGTATAGATGATACAAAGTTGACCTTAGGGGCTTCCCTGGTGGCGCAGTGGTTGGGAGCCCGCCTGCCGGTGCGGGGGGCACGGGTTTGTGCCCCGGTCCGGGAGGATCCCACGTGCCGCGGAGCGGCTGGGCCCGTGGGCCATGGCCGCTGGGCCTGCGCGTCCGGAGCCTGTGCTCTGAGACGGGAGAGGCCACGGCAGTGAGGGGCCCGCGTACCGCAAAAAAAAAAAAAAAAAGTTGACCTTAATTTGGTGACTGTTGATGCTATGCTATGGGTATGTGAGGGTTCATTATCCCATTCTCCCTACTTCTGTTTATGTTTGAAATCTTCCAATATAAAAAGTTTAAAATGTTTATATTTAGTTAAAATTTTTAAAATAACACTATAAGAAAAAAAAAGCTGGCAACAAAGTCAGACGTACAATGATTTCAGGTACTGGAATTATCAGTCACAGAATGTAAAATAAATATAATCAGTATGTTGAACACAAAAAAAGAAAATAAGGTGGTAAGCCTTAACACTGGTGCACCGGTGGTCTTTGGGGGCAGAACTGTGGCAGAACCCCCCACTTTCTACTTTGTACATTTATATACTTGTTTTTCAACAAGTATGTGCAACTTTGTAATGAGGAAAAAAGATACGGAAATGGAGAGTAAGTTAAAAATGTATGTGTGTGTATACATACATAAAAGAAGATTTGGAAAGCTATACAATAACTGTTAACATGTTAACAGTCATACTCTTTATGTGGGATTGTAAAGCTTTTTTGGTTGTTTTCGCTTAATGGTATTTTCTGGTTTTTAAAAATAATATGATATTTTAAAACATTTCATAATTTTTAGAAGTAGGTATTTCCTAGGCTTCTGGCCTCAGTCAGTTCACTTTCCACTGTAATTCTGCACCGGCCCCTCTCAGGAAAATCAAACCCCTGCTTACTGAATTCTTGACCTGGACATCTCACAGGCAGGTCCAGTCAGCCCGTGGAACGCGCAGATACAGAGGGCCGACTGTACTATGTCATTTTATATAAGGGACTTGAGCATCTGCACATTTTGGGATCTGCAGGGGGCGGGGGTGTCTTAGAACCAATCCCCTGCGGATACCAAGGCCAACTATATCTCAAATTCTGCACACTGAAAAAGTAACCTTGTTACCTTTCACCCCTCCATAAACATACCGGATCTCCCACCTTCCTTGTCTCAATAAACAATGCTGTCACCCACTCAGTGACCCAGACGTTCTTGCCTCCTTCCTCCCTTTGTCTCACAGCCAATCTTACCAGCTGCTTCCCCCTGCACACAAGGCCGGATTTATCTGAGTTGCCTCTAGCATGACTCTTTGACTCTGTCCTTCTGCAAGTCTCCATCTCCCCCTTAGAGTAATGCATAATTGTCTTGTCTCCGAAGTTCTAATCTTGCCCCTCCATGTTACTATGGGAGAGGGCTTTCTAAAGCACAGATGCAATCGCATGACACATGCTCATAAAGGTTTGTGGAGTGACACCAAACAGAACTGGTGTGAGAACAGTGACTGAACAAGCCTCTGCCTCTGAAGCTCCCATTCTTACCACTGTCTCCTCTCCACCTCCTCTGCTGCAGCCCTGTCTCATCACCATGAATTGGGGTGACATAGTGTCTGCAGCATTGTCTCTGAAAAAAAAGAGCATGTTCCAGCTCATGAGTCCTGACTTCAGACCTACATTTTAATGTGTGAGGGGACATGCATAGACTTTAAAAGGGAATCAGTATCTACATTTCCAACAAAGCCAAACATTAACTTTGGCCCAAAACATACAAAAGTCTGCTTTCCTTTTCCTTAGCATCACCCCTAGCAGCTGGACTCCCAAGGTAATCCTAATACTCGGGTTTGCCACACTGAGTTGCTTAAACACAAAGCAGCTCCACTATGAAAGGGTTGCCCCCATCTATTCTTCATGGTAGTCCTTTCCCCATCTTTAACTACACCCAATTTGTGTACTTGACAAGCAGTCTGGTGTTTGGGGGGTTTTATTTTTACACTGTTTAAATTGAGGTATAGCTTCCATTTATGCAGTAAAGCACATAAATCTTAAGTGGACAGCTTGATGAATTTTCTTTTTTTTTTAACATCTTTATTGGAGTATAATTGCTTTACAATGGTGTGTTACTTTCTGCTTTATAACAAAGTGAATCAGTTATACATATACATATGTTCCCATATCTCTTCCCTCTTGCATCTCCCTCCCTCCCAGCCTCCCTACCCCACCCCTCTAGGTGGTCACAGACCACCTAGCTGATCTCCCTGTGCTATGCGGCTGCTTCCCACTAGCTATCTATTTTACGTTTGGTAGTGTATATATGTCCATGCCACTCTCTCACTTTGTCACAGCTTACCTTTCCCCCTCCCCTTGATGAATTTTCTACTATGTATATACCCATGTAACCACCACCCAAATCAATATATAGTCCATTTCCAGCACCTCAGAAGGTTCTCTTGTACTTTCCCCTGCCAGTTGATAACCCGCAAAAAGTAACCACTATTCTGACCTCTATCAATACAGTTCTTTTCTTTTGTCTGTTACTGTAAACTTTTATATCAATAAAATCATACAATATTTACATTTTTGTGTCTGGCCTTTTTCATTCAACATTATGTCACACAATCTACCTTTTAAATCATACCATCCCATGTATATTCTCCAAAATGAAGTGGGGAATATACATGGGAAATCAATCAAGCCATTTAAAAAAATAATTTGGTAACGAACCCAAAGAAACTTCAGTTTATGAATATGAATGTTTTATGAATAATAAAGTCAGTGTGAAACTGATATCTGTAAATTCGTTAGTAGGATCATACAGGAAAAAGTGCCACTTGGGGTGGGTTATTATTAGATTAGCACTGAAAAATTAGTTTGAAAAATACTACAAAATAACTTCATTTATAAAGATCAGTACGTAAAAAGTATGGTGAATTTTTATCATAAGAAGAGAGGATTGAGATGGCCTTTATATATATATATATATATATATATATATATATATATATATATATATATATATATATATATATATATTCTTATATATGTATATATATATAATACACATATATTCTTATATATATGTATATTTTGACTCCTGTGATTATCCTGTCTGTCTAATCTCAGAGCTATCTTGCTGTCTTTGTCACTATCTCACATTCACTAAGTATGATGTTTCAGGAGCTACTCGACTGAACCTTCTGTGACATATCTGAGACGAAAAATTGAAATCACTGCTGTGGAAATGACAGATTACTCAAATACTGAAATAAATATGCCATGAAATGTAAACTTTTGATTTTGACTTTAATATAATGGTTAGCCTTTAAATTATTCATGTTTAAGTGCTATTAAATATTTAATTATATTTATAATGTAACTATAAATTATATCTGCACAGCCAACTCCTTTTCTGACCTCCAGCCCCATTTGACCAACAGCCTAAGAGATGTGTCCACGTTATAGCAACCTCAAACACATCACCAGTTTTGCCTCTTTTATTCTGTGTATGGGGGAAGGGCAATCCCAGCCAACCAATCACCCAAGCCAGACCCCTGGGAGCCAACCTAAGCACCTACTTCTCCCTCTTCCTTCACTTTCAGGCACTATATGGTATCAATCAATTCTATCCAAACATCCTGTCAATTTCATCTCTTGCATATTTCTTAGTCCTGCACCTTCTCTCTCTGACTCTGTTTCTTACCTGGATAACTATTTATAAGCCTCCTACAATTAGCCTTCTAATTGGCCCTGTGCCTCTAGTCTTCCTCTGCTTGAATCTATTTGGTTGATTGTACTTGTTCAATAAACATTTGGTGAGTGCCTGCTCTGTGAAGTTCTGCAGATGGCTCCAGGGACATGAAGATGACTAAGACAGTTCCTGCCACTGAGGTCTTGCGGTCTATCAGAGGGAGACAGTGTATAGAGTGGAAAGGACTTGGATAAATCTTGGTTCAAAATTCTGTTCAGTTCTGCTACTTACTGGCTGGATGACTTTGGTTCAGTGGCTTAATCTCCCTGAGCCTTGTTTCTTCATCTATGAAATGGCGATATTAGTGCTCACTTTCCATGGCTTTTAAGACTCAGAAAAATATGCAAATGTCTGCGATATAATAGGTGCACAGCAGATAGTGGCTAGTTTTGTTAGTTTAGTGATACACTTTTAATAGAGTCAGTATTTTCTCAATGGAGAATTAAAATTTGTTTTTCTAACCTAATAATTTTACCTTGTAAAATTTACAGTCTACTGCAGCAGGTATAATATATGGTCCCATTAATGTAAAACTCTATTTCTATAACTCAAAAAGGCAATTTTATAAAGTGGTTAAGAATATGGACTGTTAACCAAATAGACCTAGCTTTAAAACATCTTAATCACCTCTGAGCTGTGTGATTTGGCCAAGTCACTTAGTTTCCTTCAAACTTCTTAACCCTTTGACACATCAGTTTCTTCATCTGTAAAAGTGGATTAACACGCAGCTGTTTCAAACGGTTGGTAAACTGATTAGCACAGTGTCTGATACACGGGAGCAGCTGATAAATGTCATAAGAAGGGGATATCAGGAAGGCTGCCCAAATGGTTATCTCTAGATGCTGCGATTGCAGCAGATATTTATTTTATTCTTTATACTCTTCTGTACTGCTTGAATTTTTTTTATCCCAAACACAAGTAATTTTCATAAAAGCTATAATAAAGTTTTGTTAAAATTTACCTTCTGAATTCAAGAGTTCTGGTTTCATCTTTCCAGTACCACATCCCTAATCGTAATCCCAACTGCTGTAAAATGAAATGATTGCAGCAAAAATAAAGGTTCAATTTACAATCCGCATGTCACAATGAACTTTTAACAATAATTCTCACTAGTTGCTATTTAACTCTATTCAATAAAGATGTAGAGTCTTAAACTGTTGTTTTTTTTTTAACTTGAAGCCAGGATTTTATCTTTTTTGATTGTTTTTGGGTGTAGTTTCACTAGAAAGGAAGGAAGGGAGGAAAGTAGGGGAGAAAGGAAGGAAGGGAAAGAAGAGAGGAAGGCTAGGAGCCTGCGTCATCTCACCATAGCAATTTACTGATTAACTGGGCCTCAGACCACAATAAACTGGTGCCCAAGGCAGCCCCAATCTTTCAGAGGAGTTAGACAGCAACTCTAACCCTGACCCCACCCTTCGGAGGAAGTGGGCGAAGTACCAGGTTATCATTTCCAAGCCATGGTAGCTACCAGCCTCCAGGCTCTCCTCTCTGGGGATCCCACCCAGAGCAAGGCCGCTTCCTCCGCAGGACGGCTATTTATTTTTCAGCCAACCAATTAGAGGTGGTGCGGTAGAACTTTCCTATACCTAGATATCTGGTGGGGGGGAGCCGGAATTCAATTCTGACCGTTTGCCGAACGCACCTCCATCGTCTGGTTTTTGTAGACAACTAAGCCCAGGTCTCCTCGAGTGAGGTTCGCCCCAGGCTAAGGCAGCGCCCCTGCCTGGGGAGGGCGGAGAGCAGGGCCTTGGCCGAGGGGAATGGAGGGCGTCGCTGCACCGCCACCTAGCCCCCGTCGGGCGCCGCGGGCGGGAGGGGGTCGGCTTTCCACCCGCCGCGGGCTGGGGGCGGCCCAGGCGCACTTACATCCGGCTAGTCGGCCTGCGAGTCCAACCGCCGCCTCCACGAATAAAACTCGGGCACACGATACGTGGTCTCCCGCTGGCCGCATTAGACCGACCGTCGCGGGGGCAACTGCCAGTGAGCGTCGAGAAACCCCGCCGACGCTGGGCGGGGGCGGGACCCTGCTTCCTCCGCGGCGGTGGCGGGTGAGCGTCACTGCCGCCCCTGCTGACACCTTTGGCTGCTGTGGCTCCCTAGCGTCTCACAGCAAAGCTGCCCCAGGGTTCCTTCTTTAGAGGTCAGTTCTTCGTGCCTTCCCACCGAGAAGTCAACTACGTCACTGTTTTTTTGTTTTTAATTAGAATAACTTTTTTTTGGAGTGGACAGAGCAAGCTCCTATTCCAACTCCCTGCTCCAAAAATGTATCAGATATTAAACTAATAAGAACAGATACTACACTTGATCTTAGCCAAAAGGTCTTCAGTTCCTTAGGGAAGCTTCCCCTTTGTTCCAAAGTTTAATAGCACTAAATGAAGAAAAATAAAAAACAAATAAAATAAAATATAAAACATACAGGTTGGGACTAGGTTAATTTAGGGCGGGGCGGGGCAGGAGGGGAGCAAGGGAGGAAATAAGGTTTTCAAAACTGGGTTCTGCTGCATAGCTAGATGTGGAACCCATTTGAAGATATCCAGATGAGGGGTTTATGAGGCTCTTTAAGGAGTAATGTGTGTAAAGCATCACCCTGAGTAAGTACTCAAAATTAGTGTCTCTCAAAGCAGAGAAACTTGCTCTGTATCAATGGGTTTTCAACAGATATTTCTGTATTTGCACTTTTCAAATCATGTGTCTTGTAATTTCTTCTTGCAACTGAGTTGATATGCAGATTGTTTGGTATTTTTTCCTTCCATCACTGATGTAAGCAATGATAGATGACACTACATGACTGGGAATGCCTAATATATTCTGCTTTTGTTTTATCCCCACAGCTTAATTAGCATTAAAGAGATGGTTAGTAAATAGTGATTGTATACTCACATAAGCTTTAAAAACATAGCAATAGATATCCCACTGCTTCCCCTTCCCTCCACCCTCCCAGTCTCACTACTTGGTATCACACAGTCACTGGTCACAGTGGTATAAAATTGTAATCACCTAGATTCATGTTCCACTCACTTGAGTCCACTGCTGGTAGCTGTTCTGGTTGGCTCAGATATAAGGAAACCCACCTGTATGCTGGCAGTGCTGCTTTCAGGCTTGTAGCCTTAGAGGCTGGCTTATTACAAGAAGACTCACTTTAAAAGAATTTAGCAAAATATCCCAATCACCAAAAGCTTTTCTCCAAGCAGGGTATTTAACTTTGGGTGGGAAGAGGAGAAATAATGAGTTGAAGCTCCAAAAAGGACTGAGACAGACCAAGGACTCTGGGTGGTACCCATTCCCCACACTTCCAGGCAACTTCTTCAGTTATCTCAATGAATGAAGAAATGCTAATAGAAAACCAAAGATCTTTTATACCTTTACCATGTTTAACTTTAGGCTGTCTAAAATACAAAACTAAGGTAAAGATAAAAGCGTTGAAAAAAAAAAAAAAGATAAAAGCGTTGAGAACCCAGAACAATGACCTACAGAGAAGTTACATGACAAGTTACGTCACATGTGGTAGAGGGACATAATATTTAAAGGAAAGCCTCGGTAACTTAAGGAACCACCTTATATTTCTGTATCACTAGGCCCTAACAAAAGAGGGAATAAAAAAATTGTTTTTATGGCTCTAAATCATTATTTATTTTAAAAGTGACCCACTCATTTCTTAGGTTAGATTTTTCACCAGTTAGGTTTTTTGTTAAATGGCATGAGAAACTCACAACCTAAAATGGAAATATAATTTTCTTTAAAAAAAAAACCAAACAATTCATGATGCTATAAAGTAGGGATAAAGGTGCCATCTAAATATTTAATAATTTCAAGTGTCCTGGGAGGGAAAGTTGTTTTTTTTTTTTTTTTTTTTTTTGCCTAGTTCAGATAAATTCCTCAAGGTCAAAGAACTCAGAGCATATGACATAGAACTAAGTTGCTGGTCTCAAATTTTAGGCCCAAGATATTAACTGGATATAATGCATGCTTATACTATGAAAAAGTCATAATGGACATATTTTCAAAGTGTTATAATTCTACTTTTAAAACGAACATGTAAGAAAACAGCAATGCCAGTATTTGAATTAGCAATTCCATTTTTGATTGCTTATTTCCCCAATCTTCAATTCACAAACATCCCGATCTATACTTAAAGGGGTGGAGGAAAAGAGTCTATGACTTCATTTGTTCTAAGGGAAAGACATTTCAACATTAAGTATTACTCTATTAAATTTTAGAAATACATATACCCTAAAATATTTCCATCCCAAGAGCTATATCCAGAGTAAAAACTTGTATCTTTCTCTAAAGATCCATAATTTTTCTTCAAGGATTTAAATTCTGTATCTAATTTTAATGCTTAAGGATAGTTCTTCACAACAGTTTTCTCATACCTACTTACACATTATACAGAAGCAATTGAATATTCCTGCCGTTCCTTAACCTAAATATATGTATTCCCTTAGCAATTGTCTTGTGACATATGGATCTGAGATTCTTTAAAATTTCAATTCCAGTGTTCAAAAGCAAGGGAAATATACCCCACAATATGACTTTTATAAACTACATTCAACTTAAAGTAGATGAATACCTTATCATGGGCCCAGTATTTGAGCTTCATAAAAAGAAATCTTTTGAGTTCATGTAGATAGCCAGGTTATATTCATGTTTAAAATTGTACATAGGATAAAGAAATTCTTAGCTCTCCTTGACATATTGAATGGGTGATACATTAAATATCCTATCATGCATGCTAAATTTAAAGATGTAAAGAGCACTAATATCTCCTAATACACAAGTCAAGTGCATGAATTTCCATTACACATATCAAATTAATATGATAAAAAATTTAGGGTAAGCTTGTTTTGAAATTTCTTACATCTTAAATACTGTAAACAACCTGCTATGTCTTATTTTGACAGGTGTATAGATTCATTGCCTCAAAACAGCCATTTTGTTAATCAGACATTCAGATAAGAAAAAATTAAGTCCCCATTCTGATAAATGTACTTTTTCAATCCCTTAGCATTCTATATGTATTGCATTAGCTTTAGTCATGACCACTAGTCCCTAGCATAACTTTACTTTCAAGTTCAAGTGATGCTAATTATTCCTTAAACTGTAATGTAGCCTCATCCTAAGATCAAGTACTTTTTCCATTATCATTTGACTACAGCTGATCTAAAATCTGCTAAGGAGTTCCCAGGAGTTATCGAGTTACCAGTTTCAACTGACCCCTGGAAACACTGAACGGCTACTTCAGTGGCTTTATCTTAGCAATATTCAGATCTAGGTAAATTTGAGAAGACAGAATTAAAAACATTCAAGGCTAGGACTTTTATAAATTACTTTTCAAAATAATGGAAAATGAAGTATCTACATAGATTGATGTTAGTGTTACAGCAGGTTACCAGAGGCCAGGCCAAAGAGACCACCATTGGTCATTTTTCTGATACTTTAAAAACTAATCTCTCCCAAAGTGAGGTCTAAAATGAGTCATACTAATACCAAATTGCACTTACAGAAAGACTCCATTATACTTTATATACTTTGAAGTTAGAGCAAGGGATAAACACTTTCAATAAAGGACTAATAAAAGGTTAAGAAGGAGTGTTATCTTGGTAAAAACTCATGTTAAACGTCACTCTAAGGCTGCTAATCACCTGATTCTGTGAGTACCAAGGTAGTTTGTCAAATATTTATACGATGCTATCTGCAGTCAATGAAACACCCTTAAAGCCTCCTTGCTGAAAACTTTCCACCCTGGCATGAGCACTGAAAAACCCAAGTTATGTCCAGCTTTCAGAGTGTAAAGAGCAACTACCTTTTTAAAAATGTTTATTTTGAAGCAATTTCACAACTGCCTTTTTATCTCCCCACCCCACCCAAATGAGACCTGCTAAAAAAGAAAAAAAGTATACGTAAAAAGAGTCAGCTCTTCTGTGAGAGGATCATTACTGAAGCTCAATATTTTTAGGCTGCTTTGTTCTCTCGTTTTTATATTATTTCAAAAATTAATCTCTGCATGATACGGAAGTGTCCACTACTAAATTAAAAATTAGCTTCTCTAAGTCACTGTTATCTTATGAGCAACATGAAGCAAATCTACATCACATGGAAGAAGATATTAAAATGTCTGTATGGTGAAAACACTAGGTTAACTATGCATTTTCCAATCAGCTTTTACTGAATTTCTTCCACTTTCTCCTTAAAGAGAATCAATCAGAACAAAGCAGATGTGTCATTCCACTAAAATATGAACCCCCCCCCCCGCAAGGATATGGATTTTAAAGCTTAAGCCCAGGATAGTGGATCTCAAAGGGTTGTAATATTCCTATCTGTGACAATCTCAAATCGGAAATACTGGAAAATGGACAAGTTGTATATTGACGAAATACAGGACTATCTTGCAGTTTGTCTTTTAAAAAAGAAATATATTCTAGTCATTTAAGGCAGGTATTGAAAAGGCATTATGATTCTCAAATCAGAAGAAAAAACTATATTATCTTCCTCTAACCTGCAAGTAATTTAACTGCTGAAAACATCTTCTTCTTGAATTTGCCATAAGCCCAGAAGTTGAGCTGTTTTACTAGAAAATTAAAGTTAACAAATTTGGAGTCAGTATTAAGTGGCTTTAACGTTTGCCTGCTGGATCTTGTTTCAGGCACCTGTATGTTGCAGAAAGCAACTTGTTTCATACTATGTTGGGCTATTATCAGAAGACAACATCTGCCCCAGCTTTTGTTTAGAGAAAGATTCTTTCTGTACTTAACCCTGGAACATACCTTGTATTCTGTTGGAATATTCAGGTGGATTTTCACTTGAATACTTAAGCCAAGCCTTAGGAGTTTGGGTGTACTGTCAGACCCCAGTCTGGTTTCTGTATTAAAAGGGGGGAAAACGTTTACCCAGATCTTTTCCCCTTAAGTTGCTGGTAATTCAAAGCAGGAACCTCATCAGAATATTAGGCAACACTGAGTTAGATAAATTTCATCTTATACTAATATCTTAGTTAAAGACTAACATGGGCAAAACAGTAAGAAGGGAAAATTGAAAACTCCAACACAATAATTTTTAGATCAATTTCAGCTTTACTTTTAAATTTGTATTTATGCATTTGTTTGCAAAAAGTATGCCCGTCCTTAACATTACTGCAATGTTCACTTCCTCTTAAAGTAGTACATAAAAATAAACAATTCAAGCTTCTGTATATTTTATCGTTACCAAGCTTCCACAGAACATGTGTGCAGACTTCAGGTTTCCCATCTCAAAACTCCATGTACAAACTAAGCTAACCAAAAACGCTCAAGTCAGCAAATACGCAAAATGCATTAAAGAGAAACCTCAAATAATGTTTTTAAAAGCCAAACTTTAGAACTAACTTTTTATAATTAAACTAAGTTGTTGCACCTTTCCTTTCATATGCATACACCGGGCTAAACACTTCCAACAACAGATCTCATACTTGGCACAAGGACATTTCAAAGAAAAAACAAAAACAAAAGGAAAAAGAGAGAAAGGAAAAGAGGTTTACGCTGACTCGAGTCCAAGTTTAGTCCACTTCCTCGATGGTCGGTCCCCCGGAGGCTCCTGAACCACCGCTGCCGCCGCCGCCAGGGCCGCCTTGGTAAAGTTTGCTGATGATGGGGTTGCAAACTCTTTCGAGCTCTTTCTGCTTGTGTTCATACTCATCTTTCTCCGCCATCTGGTTTCGGTCAAGCCAGTTGATCACCTCCTGACACTTGTCGAGGATCTTGCTTCTGTCCTGTTCGCTAATCTTGCCCCTCAGTTTCTCGTCTTCCACCGTCTGCTTGATGTTGTAGGTATAGGACTCCACGGCGTTTTTGGCGGCCACTCGGTCGCGATTGGCCTCATCTTCCGACTTGTACCGCTCCGCCTCCTGCACCATCCGGTCAATGTCGTCCTTGCTCAGACGACCCTTGTCGTTGGTAATGGTGATTTTGTTTTCTTTACCGGTGCTCTTGTCGGCGGCGGTGACGTTGAGGATGCCATTGGCGTCGATGTCGAAGGTGACCTCGATCTGGGGGACACCGCGGGGCGCCGGGGGAATCCCGGTCAGGTCGAACTTGCCTAGCAGGTTATTGTCCTTTGTCATGGCCCGTTCGCCCTCGTACACCTGCACCAGCACGCTGCTCTGGTTGTCTGAGTAGGTGGTGAAGGTCTGCGTCTGCTTGGTGGGGATCGTGGTGTTCCTTTTGATGAGTGGAGTCATGACGCCGCCAGCCGTTTCAATGCCCAGCGACAACGGAGTCACATCGAGTAGCAGCAGGTCCTGCACGTTCTCTGACTTGTCCCCGATGAGAATGGCCGCCTGCACCGCGGCTCCGTAGGCCACCGCCTCGTCAGGGTTGATGCTCTTGTTCAGCTCC